TGTTTCTCATCTCCCTAGCATCTAGAACAGAAGGACTAAAGACAAGAGGAGGATTTCGCAAGTTAATAACAGAACTGGAATAGGTAAAAAATGGAGAGTATACATTATTGTTAACATTTCTTAGAAAATTCTTCCCTGAAATTTGGTACAGTAAGGGATGGGGCTGAGCTGTTGCTTTTGCTGCCTTAAAATGGGGTAGGTGTGGTGTGTAACCTGGTTGGTGAATTTCTTTCAGCATTCCACGCAAAAAAAAAATTCTCCATTGCAAAACTACATAAGGTGTGTTCTCCGCAGGCAAGCGCTGAGCCAAGCTGTTCTGCGATATGCTCTAAATGGTTTAGTTGCTTTACATTAGCTGTATAGTTACATTAATGCTGAGCTGTGCCCAGGCAGCTGTGCCTGCCTCTTAGTAGGGTGTCTGAGCTCATCCAACACGCTGTACTAATGTGCCTCCATGGACGTGAGGCTCCATGTGCTGGAGCTGGGTATATCCAACCATGTCAGAGCAAGCCAGGTCTGCTGTGGTGTTGAGGCTATAGCTGTTTTTCACATCTCTAAGCCTCTGGGGAAGAGCTATGTATCTCTAAGAGATGCAGCAGAACTGTGTTAACGTTGAAAAGAGAGATTGTTACTTCCTTTTGTAGACTATGTCCCTAAGTTTATGAATGTGGAGAGAAGATTATTCCTTTTGTTTCAGTGGATGTTTGCTGTATGCCTCACGAGCAGGCCAAGAACACAAAGCATAATGAAGGCATGAAAGCTCATTACAGCTCTCTGTGCAGTGTAGCGCTACTGGTTTCCACATCATCAGCAGGAGTGATTTCTGGCCTCAATTTGAAATAGCAACATTGCTTACTGACGCTGCCATCCTGCCTGTTGTGTGTTAGCCTCAACCACAGAGCAAATGGTTCCTTGACAAGGTTGCTACAAGAGCATGGGTTCAAATTGAACCATATGAAAAATACAGCGGGATGAGAATAAGAATTTTCTTGAGGAAATAGTCTTTTATTTGAAAGAATCTTACAACTGTTATAAATCCCTTCTTGATGCTATACTTATTAGCAAACAATATAAGAGATCCTCCTTCTGTTGGATATTGTTTGGTACCTCATATTCTAATAATTGCTAAAACTATTATCAGTTGTACAAATAATTATGCTTGATATAACTGATGCAAACTAGGGTTTTGGAAATTTAGTTTAGATTCACAGGCTGTCACCGTGTTCTGTAGTTGGGCGGCATTCATGGCTCTGGCTCTCTAGTGACATAACACAAATTTAAAATAGCATTATGGTTTTTATGCCTTGTATTTCTTAGCAATGACCAAATTTTCAGTAAAATCTTACCAGTTCATGAGTGGCTACAAAATTGGCTATTAACATTCATCACATAGTTTGGAGTATTTTTCTCCAAGCAAGAACACTGTTACTGGGAGGACAATTGTTCTGAGTAGAACTAATCACCTGAAAGGTTGATTAGTTGGGCACTTGGAAAAAGTATTCCTTCAAGTGAAGAAGAATGATGGATAGTGTAATTGGGATGTTGCATTTAAAGGCAGCGCAAAATAGAAATCTTTCTAGTACCAGTTTTTAAGTTCCAGATAACAGGGATTCTGCTGATATAATGATTTCTTTTCTTTTTTTCTCCCAATTGTTTATTGGGTGGAGTTCTTATTTGTTTTCTCTCAAGTAACAGCAACTGAATGTGATTACCTACATAGCATTTACAAAAGTCTGTGGACTTGTTTACATGGTGAATGGACTTGTGCACACACCATGCACATGCTCACGGTATGAATTTCATTCCACCTCCAGATTACTTGTTTCTCTCACTATGTCATCAAAGCAAACATCTCTTTGCTCAAATCTGGCATAAATATCCCCATTTAATTCTGTAGAGCATTCTAATTAAATAATTGGGCAGCACAGTTGAGATTTGACTTCCCTGGTGATAACAACTTCTTGCAGCATACTGCAAGCTAAAGGAGGATTACCAAGAAATGTTGGTAAGATGGTGTGAACAGGGTTACAGCTGAATGTTTTCATAAATGACAATAATCAATCACATCTTAACAAGATGTTGGTGAAAGTAATTTGTATTATTCCACAGATGTCAGCTCTGCTGCCCAGCCAACTCCATTTTTATATTATTCTGTGCTTGATTTAGCCTGAACAGCTTTGTCAAACCCTGTATTATGCACAACGTACATTCATTTGGTCCCCTGCCTACTCCCCCATTGCATCTGTGTGCCAGGCACTGTCTGCTGCATCTGATCCCTGTACATGGCTCCATGCACCAAGCACTGCTGTTTGCATATCCGTTTGTCTGCTGACCAGCCTCACACTGGAGTGCAGCAGCTGAGAAGCGTGTGCTCTTTAGTAGGGCTCCAGGTGCCAAAGAGCTGTCCTACAGTGGGTGCTCTCTAGTTGCAAGATAAGACCAAAGCCCCATCCCATCCTGTGACCAAGTCAAGCATGCCAAGCCATCCAGCAAAGACATGTGTCCCCTTTGCATGGAGCATATCTTTTTGGGGATCATGGCAGTTGAGAGGGCTGACTACACTGGCTTTAGGTCTGGTTGAGTTTGGGCTTTGGACATGCTCCAACGACACTACGACTGTCATTTCTGCTGCCCTTTCACCACCCAAATTCTTTCATTTCCTTTGGCAGTAGTTTTATCATTATGATTATTCAGAGACACTAAATACTGCTGCTGTCCTGCAGAGGTATATGATGACTGAAATTCACAGCTTCTGGTAGCACAATGGCACATAAGAGTTTGTAGCATGATGTTTCTGGTGGCTTTGCTCTCCTATGTTGATTCCCACACTGGATTTTCACTAGAGGTGCATTGGTCCAGAGCTCACCTGCTCTTCTTGCATGAAGCTGCAGTGAAACAGAGCTGTGGGCTCTGTTTTGGTACAGGCTGAAATTCAGGCCCAGTACTTGTTCATTGAATGGTTGGTTATATATGAAGTAAAATACATAAAATTTAATGTTAACTTAGCAGCAAACTGGATTTGTCTGTGTGTGGTGGTGAGAGAAAATTTTCAGTTACTGCATGTCTGCAGCCCTAGATATGCATGTTTCTCAGCAAATACTGTAGTTCGTTTGTGGTAGTCAAGGGACAACTGGACTTTGTGGAACTAGTTCTTGTGTTTATTGATGGCTATATTAGAAAGGTGACTATTTGATTAGGGTCTTGATTTTGTTAACTCATGATTTACAAACCAACAACACTGATTTCCATTCCTTTCTGCAGGATGATCTTCTGCAGGAGGATACCTTCTTTTAATGCTAAAGAGAACTAGTAAATCCATAAAGTGGAATAATATGAACCCAGTAATTAATTAATACTATTAGTAATAATAGTAATTAATAGTATTTCTCAGCAACATATTGATTTCTAGGCTGAAAACCAAGAATTAGCAGTGGGTTTGTTTTGTTTTCTTTTCATCATAATTTAGGAGACCCATTGTCAGTTTTCGTAAAGAAGAACAAATATGCCACTGAACATCTGACATGTGGTTTTTCAAAATCAGGTTCTGATTAGTACATTCGGGATTTGCAATAATAAGCAGGTTTGAACTTTAGTACTATCAACAAGTTGAGATCTTGCTTTTTTTGTGTTTCTTAGAGGTGAATGGAAAATGTGCCATTATCTTGCTGGCAGCAACTATTTGTCTGTCAGCCTAATACTCCCACTGGCTGTGGAAGTATTTTTTCAGTTTTTTAGTGCCATAATCTTTAGTGCCACATAATCTGGTGCCATACTCCCACTGGCTGTTGGTCTGAAAACTGTAGCTGATCTGTCATAGTCCTTTAACAATTCATCCATTCCAAGGCTGTTAAAAAGCGCTTATTTTTTTTCAAACTCAAAAGAGACAATATGCATACTTACATTTTTCCTCAAGAAACCAAATAAATTTCAATCCAGAGAGAGAAATGTACATAATCTGTATCAAATAAGTGGGGAGAGTGCCCATTTCCTGACAGTGAATGTTTCTGCTCGAGAATTTGGACTGGATTATAATGAAGCTTTGGTTAAGCAGGTTAAATAGACAAAAGCAGTGAAACTTCAAAGGCTGACCAAATGTGCTGAGGTTTTATTTCCCCGATCTGTAATGCCTGCTTTTGCCTTCCTCTCATTAGCACAGAAAAATAAGCTAGTGGAGCATAGTGTGTTGTCCAACTGTAGTGCCTATAGTGATTGATTTCTAACGAGGTTTTTAAGTGTGAGTATGTAAGGTTTTTTTCAATGTAGCAGTAGATAACAGACCTCCTATGACAGCGGTTTTAAGAATGACTGCACAGCTGTATTGTAGAGCTCATTTTAGATACCAAGATGCAAAAGCTTCTTTCCAAACAGATAGTAAGTCTGTGACTTAATCCAGTGGTTAATTAGCTGTTTTTACATGAAGCACACAAAATAGCAAAGGAAACTCTATTCTTTGGTAAGCTACGAGGAATAAGGTAAAGCAGTGCTCAATGATATGGTGTAAAAATCCAAGTTGGTTTGATATTTCTAACTTGCATTTCCAGTATTCTCTACAGGACAGTTAAATGTGCAGCATCTGCTACCATTTATATTTTGAAGAGTGTTTCCTGCACTGTCGGATTGATTTGGGCATTTGTGTCACTCAGTCAAGGAGTTATCAGAGACCACACAGAAGTCTAAAATTTTATTCAGAGAAAAAAGTGAATATGTTTGAAATATACAAAATAATAATAAAACCTAAATCAATTAAAAAGTAATTAAAAATGAAAATATAGAATTTTAAAAGTAGATAAATGACATAACCTCTGTAACAGGTTCCTGTAAGCTCATTTTATAACATTAAAGGTCGTAAGCTAGTGTGGTGTGTATAAGCACAAGTAACAACATTGGACATAGTTGTAAAACAGCAGTGAATTTGGACACTGGTTTTGGATTAATTTTGAAAAACTAGTGTAATTCCAATCAAATTGGACTATTTTTGGTTCTCTGAATATTTTGAACAGCCTGAATACCTGTGAAATAGCAAAATCTGGCTCTGAACAGGTAAACAGCATTTGTTTGATGTAACCACCCACCTCCGCATACCACAGAACCTCATGGATGTCCCTGTCTTCAGTGTTTTCTTCTGCACTTTTCTAGAACTGCACCTCAATAACTAGACTCTGATGCTATAAAACTATGATCTATTTCTAAAACTAAGCTCTATTTCTAATAATACTATTGCTAAAACTTGTCATCTTATAAAAGCCTTGCCAGAAAGCATATGAGAAGAACCTTTTAAAGATTTTTGGGAACAAAGGCTTTTTAAGTTCATTTGAAGAAGGAATGTATTGGAGTCAAGACAGGAAAGCTAACCAAGTCACACGGGCTTTAGATATTAAATTTAATACCCTCTTCCTTGAAAATTTCCTACGTAATCAAGCTCTTTATGCTAAGTGCCTGAAATATATGCCTTGTCATTCAGGAAGCAAGTAACATTGTAAGCTACATGAAGTTTTTTCTAATGAGTTCTCAACCCTTCCTTGCTCTGTGGTGGTATGAGCTCCCAAACAACTCCTTTTAAAATGAAATGAGGTGGTTCTTCTGCCTTGGTAAATCAGTAAGTATATTAGAGTAGGGAGCAGGATCTCCCAGACTACTGACCGTCGAGGCATTCTGGCTCAGAGGCACCTGAAAGAGGCAAACATTTACGTACCTGGACAGATTATGGATAGCTTTTTCATGAAGTAGAAGTTTGGGTTTGCAACTTATTTGCAATTATTTGCAATGAAGGAACTTCAAGTAGCTTCCTATTATTTCATTACGGAGGAAATGAAGAAGCCAGACAGGAACTAACAAGTCAACAAACAGAGGAACTTCAGAGACAGCTCTTGCCTCACACAAGAAAAAAAGATGAACTACCTCACGCTCTATTCATCATCCTGTAGACTGTGCAGCACTTAGGGGCCTAGTCCAGCCTCGAAGCTATTACCAGACAGGCTGACAGAGCATTCATCCGACAGAAATCTGCAGTTGACTTTCTTAAGTCAGGAAATCAGGAAGGTTTTTAGTTTTTTCTCTACGAAAGGCCCATTTTTTTTGTGGAAGGCACTCTGAAAGTTCTCATGTCATTTTTAGCTTTTGTCTCTGCAAAAATTTCATTTCACTTCCACAGAGGAAATCAAAGCAAAACGTACAACATTTGCTTGCTACTTGAAAAATTAATTAAGACACAGTTCCCTAATTCAAACTCAGAAGAAGCAGGTTTCATCAGCAAGGCAAAATTATTGGTGTCATTGAATCGTGAGTGTTTTTTAACATTTTTCATTCCTTTAAATTTAAAAGGCTGCTTTTGAGTTCACTTTTAAAAATTCGCCACTAAATGTTGGTTTATTATTGCAATCATGATGATACTTTGCCTTGTTGATGGTTGCAGGGACAGAGAAGGCCTGGGGTCTGCAAGTAAGAAGCTATGGGAAACTCTTGCCTGCAGCTATTTCTGAACTCACTCCCTTCAGTGTTTCCAGACTCAACTGGACTATGCTTCTGCAACAGGCTTTCTAACTGCAAATCTATGATTTTCTTCTAGCTTGCCTACACATCGTTGTTTCTAAAATGGCTGTAAGCTTGGTCTAATTTCTGGTTTGAAAACACAGTATAATTGGCCAACGCAATTTTATTTTGCCTTTAAGGTTGTTTTCCTCTTCCTGTTTCACAGATACACCATGCCTGAAGAGTTTGTACTTTTCCTGTCAAATGTTCTTTCAATTTAAGGAATGCCTCCTCCTGAGACATGTCTCATTAAGAGTAAGATGCCTTAGGAATGGCTGGAACTTGATTTACAACAGGAAAAAAATGATTTTGAGAAGATTGTTAATCAAGCAAGGAAAGTTTTTGGGAAGCAATTTCTACATACAAAGAACAATACTGAAGTATTATTTGGAGTAAATACTACTAATCTATTTATGTCACAATTTATGCTGTTTTTGTGTACTACTTTGAGTCCATTTACTGTTTACTAAAGTGGGAAGAAGCAGCTGCATTTTTGCTAGACCTTCAGATAAACATTGTAGCTTCAAATCCAGCATCTTTGCGCATAAAGGTTTTTACACACGTTCAAGGTTTGAATTTTATCCAAATCATGGAAAATTCACATCACCTGCTTGCTTCATGAGTAGATGTATCTGGTGTTTAAAAGTGATTTAATGAATTCAGTGCTTGTTTTTAAAAACAGTAGCAGAAAATAGAAGGCAAATGTTACTATATCTGCTATACAGAAATATTTCAGTACATTTTTTCTTATTTTTTCTCCCTTTTAAGGGTCAAAAGGCTTGGATAGAAAAGACCTTTTCGAAAAGAGAGTGCATCTATGTAATTGCCAACAACAAAGACATTAGCAGGTAACATTTGAAATTTTTGTTTTGGCCAACAGAAAAGGTTAATACTGAAGAAACTGGACTTGATTTGGATTTAGACATGTGAAACTGAGACCCCGATTACTCACTGCCCTTAAAGGGAGATGACAGGGGAACAAAAGTGCAAGACGTGTTTGCACTCGATTTCGTACAGAGCCATCGGACATGTCATACAAAGATGATAAGGCTGAGAAGCAGGAGGGGCAGCAAGTTGTTAGTTCCGAGCTTTGCAAACCAGAGCATAAATTCATACTGAATTCTGAAAGCAAGGGTGCAATAATGTGCACTGTGAAGCAAGTGGTACCATTCTTCACAGTTGGTATGGCACAGGAATTTCTCAGATCAACAAGCGGCCCAGATCAACAAGCAGCCCAGGAGAAGCAGGGCGGGGGAATGCACCACCACACACTACCAATAACAATACTATACAGGGGGACTGGAATTCTTAGAACAAATATTAAGATTACTGCTACTGCATGAGCTAGCTAAATTGTGGTCCAGCTTGTTTGGATAACATAACAGTTTATGTCACATGCTAGTTGTCACCTCTGAGTAAGAAACAGATGGTCACTGCTCCTGTTTTGCATTCTTCCTCCTTCCCTGTCCTTTAGCCTAGAACAGCTTTCCAGTGTATAACAGAAGTGAAGTGAAATTTTTTATCTTTGCTTGTTAAGAAACACCTGTGGGCTGGTAATTCTGGCATATGCGTGTATGCAAATACAACAGATATGACCTAGAAGAGGTGTTTCTATGATTCATGTAGAGCAAGGCATGGTCAGCTGAAAATCTAATTTCTGATTTATTCTTTTTTTCTTTTTTTTAAAATCACTATCCAATATTGAAGATACTGTAATCAAAGTCACTTCAAATTTTAACTTACAGGTGCTGCTGTGGCCAGCTCATTAACCAACATATTCCACCTCCTCCAAGTATAACAGCTAATAAAAATGGAGAAGAAACAAAGCAAGTGGAAGCTCAGCCAGAGAAATGGTCTGTCAGTAAACACACCCAAGCATACCCAACTGATGCCTACGGAAACCTTGAATTCCAGGGAGGAGGACATTCAAATAAGGCCATGGTAAGGAACATAGGCTACTCTAAGGTATTCATCTGGTATGTTAGCTTAATAGATATGTGTCAGGATTCCAGCTCACTCAGTGCATAATCCATTGAAATCAAAGGGAGTCTCTGCTGTCTCAGAAAGGTGTGGACAAGACACTCAAAAAGAGAAAGAGAGAGAAAAGGCAAGAGAAAAATAATATCTGCTTAGGAAGCACCTTATAATGTCTTGATGAAACAGTTTCATTGAAGTTACTGTCAGTAACTATCAGCTAAGGAGGCAGATGCATGTATTAATGCCCAAGGTTCCATCTGTTTGTATTAGATTTCTGGGCCAAATAACCCAGCATGGATACAGATTTTTTCCTAAGATTTGAAGTCTAACAAAAATAGAAATTAATCTTGCCTTCCTGAAAGACAGAGGCCTGACGGAGCTGGAAAATGGACTGTTGAGTTTTCTTAGCACTAGAAGTAACAGCAAGTCAAGCCTCTGAAAAAAATCTCTTTCTGTTTTGCCTCTCTTCTGAACAAATCCAAACCTAGATTTGTTTCTTTGCCCCTTTGCTTTCGTATCTCTCTGCTGAGACTGCCACTCGAGACAACCACACTGCACAAACTTGTCCAAAATGTATGGGAGAGATTGGTGGTTTTTGTTAGTGGTGGTTTGTTTGTTTTTAAAGCAGAAATAAACATGAGTTTATTTCATAGATTTCTTTGATAGAGTGGTAGTTTGAAAAGAAATCACAATGGTGGAACTAAACTGAGAAGAATGCAAATCATTCCTTCAGAGGCAGAAATATATATGTTAACAGTGAATGGGATAAAATGTAACATAAGCCTCCTATTTCCTATGAAGGTCGTTGCTTCTCTTTGGCAGTCAAACCAGAGGTTTTAGGAACAATACAAAACACCTTTCAGTCATTTTAAATAGGTGGCTTCCAACAATGCAGATTTGTAATAAGAGCTTAGGATCACTTGATTGCAGTCAGTTTTGCAGTGAAGAGAGGAAAGTGGTGCTTTTAAAATTCATTAAGTGAATGGTAAATTCTCAACAGAGAAGTGAAGGGTTCCAACCTGTTTTTTCTAATCATAAGCAGCAGAGAAATTTAATAATGTGTTGCTTAAAAATTGTAAAACTCTTTCTTCAAGATGGAAGGCTTAATATAACCATTCTTTGTTCAGTCGATAGACAATTCACAGAGCAGATGGAGTGATAATACTAAACATTGCTCTTTGCAGTATATCCGTGTGTCATATGATACTAAACCAGATTCTCTGCTGCATCTCATGGTGAAAGACTGGCAACTGGAACTGCCCAAGCTCTTAATCTCTGTCCATGGAGGTCTCCAGAACTTTGAAATGCAACCTAAATTAAAGCAAGTATTTGGAAAAGGTCTGATAAAGGCTGCCATGACCACAGGAGCTTGGATTTTCACTGGAGGTGTTAGTACAGGTAAGCAATTACCAGCACTTTTAGTTTACTTAAGAATTCAGTGATGTTCATTCACTAATCTTTCCCACAGGCAGAAGATTTAAGTCTACATGAATGAGTCATTAGCTACTAGACCAAAAAAAAAGCATTGTAATCATTTGCGTTAATCTCCTACCCAGCCCAGGCCATAAGATTTTCCTGGGTCAGTATCGATTTGCATTACTCGGTGTTTCCCCTGAAAAAAAATTGTCATCCTTGGTTTCAGTAGCAAGGAATCAACCACTAGTCATCATACATTTTTTTCAGTAGTTGGTTATCCTTGTAGTTAAGAAATCTCCTACTCCAAATTTGCCTAGCTTTAGCTTCTTACTGTTTTTTTGTACAAAGATCTTTCTGTTACTACAAGTATATTTCCTGAGCATGTTTTCATACACAGCACTTTTATCAAACTGCAGAGGCTGAGTTTCATAAAACGCTCACACTAAGCATGTTTTCCAGTCCTTCGGTCATTATCACACCGCTGCTTTGAACTCTTGCTGTTTTTTTAACAGCCTTCTTGAATTTTGGGCGCTGCAATTTTTGAGACAGTGCTTGACGAAGCTTTTAATCCCTGACGTAAAACCGTCTTTCTGCTTCCGTTTGACACTTTCCTGTTCATGCAGCCAAGGACTGAGTTAGCCTTTAGGCTGTGTGATCTCTCTGAGAGTTAGTGATCAATTGATAATCCACCTTAAATGCCATGTCCCTGAGTCACTGTCTTTATGGGATCACCGACCACCATGCATGCCACACGTTCTGTCTTGTAATTATACAAGGTATTTGTTCTTAAATGAATGACTGTAAATTAGCAATCTTGAAACACAAACCTGAAGTCAGTTGCAAATGTCTCTACTTGAAGACATTGCAATCTCCTGTTTGCATTTTCCTCCGGTCTTCTGGCCACCTGAAAGAGTTTTATGTTTCTGTGTTTCCTTTTTGACCATATCTAAAACACTAGTTGTACAGCAACTCCACGTAACTCCACTAGGAGGTTTTTGGCACTGTTCCTGGATTCTGTCAAAAAACGGTGTCTGATATGATGTCCAAAATTTGAAAGACATGTTGAAAAATAGCTGTTTTGATGATTCCTATATATTGTTACATTTTGAGACCAGTTGGTTTCTAATTAGTTTCATTTATGTTAATATCAATTCTGAGTGATCTTCAAAAAACAATCAGATGCAAACTTTTGTTATATTTCTATAGCAGTATCTTTATTTAGCTGAAATAAATCTTTATGTCAAGTTATTTCTCAGAAAACTATGTAACATAAGAATGAATTCCTTTGACTTTCATTTTACAACAAAGGTCTAATGTCTTTAGGGGAAGATTATGTTTGCTATGCAGAATAATTTTTAAGTGAAAAAATATTTCTTAGATAACTATGAGTTGGGGTTTTTTGCTTGCTCAGACCCCAGTGATAGCATTCCATATGTGTTTAGCATTGAGTACAATGAACAATATAATTCCAGACAATGGTACAGATTACGCTGTGGCAAGTTAAGTAACTGGGTAAGTCTTTCAAAGAGTTCGTTGAATTCAGAACAAGGATGTGAAAAGGCAATAGGATTTACATGCAAATATTAAAAAATAAAAGCATGGGTTTGTCTGCACTGCATGTTCTATTATGAAGTAGAGATACCAGTTTAGTAGTGAAAGCAATCCAGAAAGGCAGGTAGCTGCATGAGAGGCAAGAAGAAAATTCTGTTGTTTAGTGATCTCTCAAAAGTGCCAAGAATGAATTAAATGAATTGTACCTATAGGTGTCATTCGTCATGTGGGAGATGCCTTGAAAGATCATTCTTCCAAATCCAGAGGACGAATATGTGCCATAGGAATTGCACCGTGGGGCATTGTAGAAAACAAGGAAGATCTGATAGGAAAAGATGTAAGTCTTTAAGGAAACTCCTGTGTAATTAGCAATGTCAGCTGTGTAACAAAATACATTGTTCATCTTTTTGGAGTTTTAATATTTTCACTGTTTCTAAAGCATGCCTAAGAGCTGAAATTGAACAATTTCTTGAAGAAAAGCTGTTGTTTAAATATATTTGTCAGGTTGTCATATATGACCTCAAAGTAAATATGGAGCTAGTGAGGTTTCCATTGCTTTCAATAGTAGAGACCTCTCTGTGGTGACGGAGTTTTAGGTCCTAACTTCTGCATGGCATGCTGAGACTTCTATAAATCATATAAGGGCCTTTATGTATACAAGACTGGCATTTATTGTAGGTGGATACTCTGCAGTGGCATATTAATTACTAGGAACTCCAAATGAGAATGTATTTTCTAATGCAGTGAGAGGATTATGTAACGCAGTGTGTGATCAAGGAGAGTACATTAATGAGCTTAAGGGAACATGCAGGAGAGTGCACAGATGTGACTGTCATCCTCCAAAGAAAACACTGCTGTGAAGAGTTCAAGTCTTGAATGTAAAAGCAAGCTCTATTTCTAATTCCCCTCTATTTTTCGTTACAAAGGTCTCGTTGATTTGTTCCCTCATAAGGCATGTGCTTCTATTAGGCGGCGTGGGGGATTTTCACATTTAGTTCTTAGTTCTAATCTAGGTGCATCTATTCTTTTTACACACAGGTAACACGGGTTTACCAAACAATGTCAAACCCTCTAAGTAAGCTCTCTGTGCTCAACAGTTCCCATACCCACTTCATTCTGGCAGACAATGGTACGCTAGGTAAATATGGAGCTGAAGTAAAGTTACGACGTCAGTTGGAAAAACACATTTCCCTCCAGAAAATTAACACACGTAAGTACAGTGGGGCAAACTGTAAACATAACATCTTAAAGGAAGGGAGGGAAGAAGGGCTTGAAATATTTCAAGGTATTGAAATTAAATGCTTCTTCCAGCTCTTTCTAGCAGGAATTTGATCAGGACTGTGTGACTAAACTAGAACATATGCTGTCTGATAAGCAGTGAAAGAGGCCACTTCTAACAGCATGGAGAACCCAGAAGAGTAAGAATTGCATAAAGGGAGGAAGAAAAGTTGACAAATAATAGCAAGGAGAAGCTTCAAATGAGTAAGAATTTAAGGAAAGGGAAATGTAAAGAATTTGTGCACTTCTAGCTAGGATTCATAAGCATCAGAATGGGGTGATTTTGTACAGTTCCTGTTTACAGGAATCCTATGCAGCTCAATGGTTTCTGATTCCAGATGTTCATACTAACATTTTATTTTCTCTTTTATATTAATTTGTTTCATTTGAAATATCACACTCAAAATTCTTTGATCTTCCAGATAAACTCAGGTGGGATTTTGATTTTTAATGAAGCCATTATCAAGATAATTTCACATCAGTGCTTTCATATTTAGAGTTTTGTGCAGTTTTAAAATTTCTGCCAGTTCTTACAGGCTCTCTAAAACAACTTTCTAGAATTCTTTTTGTCATTGCTTAGAAAAAAATTCTTTTAAAAGACATTTTATCATTAACATTTTTGTAGAAAAAAATGGTTTTTTTAAAGATTAAATAAATAAAAAATTTTAGTAACTGTGGTTTTCCAACTTTAAAAAAAACCCCACAACAACAACCTAATTAAAAATGGTCCAAAAAAAGTTAATAGTCTTTGAATCCACACTTCAATTAAGTGCTACTGGAGATTAGACATCAGTTCTACCGGTTGCCTTTCTGACTTCTTACAGATGCTGTTGTAACCTGTATAGGCCCATATAAATAAAAAAAAACCAAACATTCAGGATTACAATTGCATTGAACTCTACAAAGGTTTCCAAAAGGGATTAAGCTAGAATCTGCTTTTATGGGTAGAGCAGAAAAATGAAGTAGAGTGCCAGGCAGAGCCAAAAGGCACAGTTAGAGGTCAGCCACAAGATATCTAAACATTCTGGAAAGTCTTTAAGTACTGCTTTTTGCCTATGGTAAGCTTAAGAAACTGAACTCACCAAAATAATGCCCCTTGCCATTGAGTGTGGAGACAGTGTCATGCACTGTTGGCCACAGACAGTAGAAATAGCTAACATTAGCTATGCTTTTTTCATCTTTGTCTTCTGCAGAAGTTCTGGGGAGTTGTAACATTGTAAAAGGGAGCACTGGCTTGGAAGATAAGGAAGTCAGGGCTCAGAGGCAAGATGTTCTGTATCATTTCTTTTAATACCACTGGGGCTGGGGATATTGGTTCTGATTTAAGTAGTGTTTGGTGTTTTTTGTCATGAGAAGGGCAAAGTTGCGAATAGACATAGGAATGAAGAGTTCTGTGAAGGGCTCCAGTACACCTGCTAGTAACAACATACAGGGAGTCGTTTTGTTTCTTTTTAATCACTTCAAGCACAGGCATCTCTTCTGGAAATCTCATCAGGAATCACTAAGGATTTCATGGACACACAGGCCGGCCCATGTGACTCCTTATCAGAGCTGGGGTAAATATGACAGGAGGATGTCAGGAAGCTTCTGCTGTTATTGTGCATGGTGTTCCTGTTCTTCAGAGGGGAATGAAGGTTGAAAATACGAGCTCTTTCACACGTTCTCAGCCGTACAATAAAGTGCATCTTCTTTATAAAGTGCTGGTCATTTTGCAGATTAAGAACTGAATTCAAATGCTTATAATAGTGGGATTAGTCAGCCTTCAGGTAATGTTTTGTCCTTCATTTCCCCAAGTATCTTGTGACCAAGGCTACTGAGACCATGTGACCTGTGGGCTTCCCTTTGTCATCCTATGCCTGGAGATCACAGTGAGGCAGGGACAGCAAAGGGATGCTCAGCTGTCGTCTCTTCCATCGGCCAGCCATTTCAGCCTCATGATAAAGACACTGATTTAATATTTTTTATCTTAGGAGAAAGCATAGGTATATGTCACCTTACTGAAGACTTCCTGTAGGTAACCAATGAAGAGTTAAAGCATTAAAGACACAGTAGCTCGGAGCCATCCAAGTAACGGTGAAGCTAATGAAGTAATAGGAGAATCATATTAGCTGTTTTATCTGTACATGGTGCCTGTCAAAAGAGATTACCAACAGTTCACCAACACTGAGTGAATAAATTATCAGTATGGAGCTGATGCAAAAGCAAGGGCAGAGAAACATCTTACTCTTTTCCTTTTGGGGCTATGAAATGGCATATGGACATTTTTCCTGGTGTTGGCCATGAAATTGCCATCATTTTTCCTAACTGCTCTGGTTTGAAGCGATGCTGTAAAACAGAAATCACATCTACTCATAATATCTTAACCCCTTAAACTAAGTTTCAATGACACTTCTTTTTTTGTTTCTGTTCTTCTGTTTTTTGCAGGGCTGGGACAGGGTGTTCCTGTAGTTGGGCTCATAGTGGAAGGGGGTCCCAATGTCATCTCCATTGTCTTAGAGTGTCTACGAGAAGAACCCCCTCTCCCTGTTGTGATATGTGATGGTAGCGGACGAGCATCAGATATTCTGTCATTTGCACACAAGTATTCAGAAGAAGGAGGGTAAGATTTTGAGATCTTCACCAAAGCTGTGTCTTGCTTGGCAGGACAATGTAGGGAGTACAATATGCCTTGCTTTCATTAAAGTTTCAAAAAAAACCACCTCAGGGACAAAATGCTACTAACAGAGGCATTCTGCTGTCCATCAACTTTTGTTGCCTGTTTGATCTTAGCCCTGGCGTTAATGAGTAGAAATTGTTACCATTTGGAAGGTTCATTGAAATAAGCTTGCTCTCAGTGCTGTTATACAAGCTCCATCAAAGTTTGTTGCACTATAGTTGGTGCTGGGTTGGGTGTGTTAGAAGCACGGAACAAGTGGTTCCCAAGAACTACTCTTTTTCTCAGGCCAGGGCTTAGGTTAATTAGTGCATGTATTTGCAAAATTTGTACTGCCTGATTCTAGCGTGTTGTATGAATGAGCTTCATTCTCCAAGAGTGCCAGACCAGCTGAAAAAATGTTGGGCTTCCTTCTATTCTCTTGCTATTTTTCGCATCTATGATGGTTCTTCAGGGAAGTGCTGCCTGATGTCATGAACAGAGTGGAGGAAGTTGTTTGGAGCATTCTGCTCCACAGCCCTCCTGTCCATTGCCCAAATGAATCTGTAAAAGTCACTCATAATCCAAAGTTTTCTGGAAGCTGTTATTTTTATGGTTGGTTGTCTGCTCCTTTGGTTGATAGAAAGTATGGTTAGTTTAAAAAAGATACAAAGCCTATACTAGCAGCGTAAAGCTCATCTGCTCTGCAGAGTAGATGATCTGTCCTGACAAATACTCCCAAGCAGAAGCAGAGTATTGCATTTTTAATTTAAAATATTGCTTCTCCCAGTCAAGTTTCATACATACATTCCCCATTGTCATTGTTAATATCAGGATTTTATGTTTAGTAGCCAGCTTCAGGCAAAAACCTAGTATATTGTCTTGATTAGAGTATGGCACACCTGTCTTGCACTGAAGAAATAGCCTATTTCCTTGACTGAAGTTGGAGCTTAGCTTGGATTAAATATTAAGCAGACAACTAGTATTGTCAAGCAGTGCAGATGTTATTTGCTGAATTGGGAGAGCAGCTCTGATGCTGGATTTGTTTTATGTTTACACATAGTACATATTTAATCCAACCAACAGTATTTATGATTCAGCAACTTTCTTTTCCTTTCCGTCGACCAAGCCTCCTTAGCTTAGATCAAACTTTGCTGCTTTTTTTTTTTCCATTTCTCATTCATCCTTCCTATCAGCTCATAGGTAATTGAAAGAGCTTATCAGGATCAGTCTGTCTAAGATCTGCTCACTGCATGACTTTCTCTCCTAGATGCAGTGTCCAATTTTCCTCTCCAATAACAATGATGAGATAAATGTGTTCATTTGGTAAGGCAGGTCTGTAATGAGAATTTTTTGTCAGCTCTGCTGTCTGAAAGAATCATTTTCTTACAATGAACTTTGAATTTTACTGCACTTCGCAAGCTCAGCTGTCTCACTGCTTTGAATGCCTGCTGGTAATGTTTGCTATTGTCTGAAAATACATGTGTTTTATTAGGAAATGGATGAAGATTGAAGGGCTCTGTTTCAGATTGCTTTGAGAGATCAAACATTTCTGACCATTCTAGAATGTTTTCAATCTAATTTCTTTAATCATCTTTTGGTTTGTTTGTTTCTCAGTTGGATATTAGGAGGTTTCAGATATGCTAGCAATTTAAATCCTCTGTCTAAAAGGATAACCAAGATAACCAAGGTGACGTATCAGTAGTGTGAAATATTTTTGGTTTTTTAGCTATATGCAGAGGGCCTTGCAACATCTGGAGGCAAAGGTAGGAGTCCTGTAAGGTATACTGCTGAAATCCTGAAGATTGAACTTCTTAACAAAAGTATATCTATAATATATAACAGGAGTAAGAGCTACCTGCATTATATTCCAGGGTGAAAGGATAGTTCAAATTCTCTGCCAGTTTTTAAATCAATGCTGAGGTACTGAGATGCTTAAGAACCAGTCTGGGTATGAATTTCCTGATTACTGTTGACTCTTCATGAACTCCTTACCTGTACTGAATGGGAAGATGCTGTGTGTTTTCATTTATTTTCAAAATGAAGTCATTGCAATGGTGGATGAAAAATTGTTTCTCAAAAAGCAGGCCTTCTGAATATATATTAATTCTGGCAATGTCTTCTTATGTCTCATTTTTCATTTAGGATAATAAGCGAATCCCTTAGGGACCAGCTTCTAGTTACCATCCAGAAAACCTTTAACTACAACAAGAATCAAGCTCATCAGCTGTTCATCATTCTTATGGAGTGCATGAAAAAAAAAGAACTTGTAAGTGTCCTAAAAGTAGCTTCACAAAGATAATTTCTGTGACCAAACTTTATAGAGTACTTTCAAGTGCCATTCTCCCAGGGTTGGGTTACAGTTTAACCTTCCCCCCGCTCCCTCCTATAGCTCCATAAATGTACACAATCATTCATTCATAAGCGTAGGCCAAGAAAGGGATTTTGTCTTCTGGAAAGCCTCTAAAACCAATTTCAGATTCTTCTCCTGTGTAAGTTGATAGGAGTCTTATTTCACGGACTTCCACAAGGCAGACTAAGATACTGAGATAAATGCACTAAAACCAGGAGCAACTGCAGAAAGTAGAGAAAAATAATTGAACAAAGAGTTCCTAGGAGCAATAAGCATTCAGAATGCATCAGCACAGTTTTGGTCTTCTGATATAGTTCCTTTTTAACAGCCTTTCCTTCCAGTAAAATGGGCTATTCAGGTCTTTCAAAAGAAATTGAAACATTAAGTGTTCTTGAAGATCCCAGCCTTGCTTGATCCTGGCTCGTTGCAAGCCTGTTCTATGTTCCTGCCTGACTGCCATATCCCAGCTGCAGAGAAAAGTGTGCTCAGGAAAAGAAATTCTTTAACATTCACATCTGTTGTCTGTGAACACTGTCTTGAAATTGTGTTCACTGTACCTGTGCCTTTGCAGGCAAAATGAATCTTTATGGGTTTTCCTTTGACTAATTGTCTTAGTGGATTTTTGTAAATATGACCTCTCCCTTGAGTCCTGGTATAATTCCATTTCATTCTTTCATACAAATCCTAAGCAGCTGTTTTAATAGCAGATGAACAGTCTGATGGATTTTTTGTAGTTTTTTTTTTAATTACAGCTGGAACTGGTATGGCTGGTATTTTTATCTTTTTTGCTAAAGTTGCATATTTCTGTTAGGTACAAACAAGAGAGAACTACCACAGCCTTCTCCTCAGACTGTGCGTAGGGAATCAGATAACTAAACTGCTATTGAATTTAAGCATGAAACGTGGGGCAGTTTCATTCTTCAGGATGCCTAATTGTATCACTGAGGAAGTGATACCTATAATAGGAGCAGCTATAAAGAAACTATTTGAATGACAGATGAAACTTCTCTCATAAGGCTGAGAAAAGAGGGAATTTTTTTCCAAGTTCTTAGAAAAATGATGTTTCATGCTCCCTTAAAACTAAGTGTGTTTTCGTTCCACAGAGCCCACACTTTCTGTCTTTGGCCAGCTTGGAGGCAAACTCTAAACTCTGGTCTTAACCAAGTTTAATGCTGTCTCTAATAGATGATGTGAAATTTTTTCTTAAAAATTTAAATAAACAATAACTGAATATAGCATTCCTTACAGTTCTTACTCTTTTTGGTAGGGAGTGTTCTTTTGATTTCTAGAAGTAACTGTTTAGTTGTTCAATGAGAAATAATAAATGACAGAAGGGGGGGAAAATGTCTTTTCCCTGGAGTATTTGCTTGTTACTTGCCATGGCAATACTGCATGTAGTAGCTGCCAGTGTTTGCATTTCCAGTCTCAGATTTGGAGCAAAGAAAATTAATACAATGTAATTTTTAGTTATCTAAGCCTAAATCTTGACGTATTTACTTCAGAATCGGTGCAGTGATTTAGTTTGAGCATGAGGTCAGGTGCGTTGTTGTGAAAAAGGGGAGCAGCCCCTACATATTACTTGCATAAGTGCCATTGATTCTTAAGTAATACCTTTTGTGCAAGTAAGATCTGAATCAAATTGTCTAAAATTTGACCTGATTTACACACAGAGATCACAGAATATGAACAATCCCACCATTTTTTGCTAGAGCTGTCACTACCATGCACAGGCATGCTTCTGGTTCCATCTTTTTCTGTTGTGTGGTTTCATATTGACTTGATATTATTCGTGAGTGAAGGGCTAACGCAAGAAAGATACTACTTGATCCCCAATAGGAATAGGAGTAATAGGAAACAGAACTGAACTCAGCACAATGGTACTAACCATAATGCAAAGAAACTTCCTCAAATCTGTACATCAAGCTTTGTGCTAGTCCTCTTTTTATACAAGCTGCTCCCAGTGATCAAAGTACCAGTCAAGACATTATTTTTACATTAGTCTTGAGCAATTAAGGTAAACACCTGAAATTAGGAGATCGCTTTTATCAGATTACAATTATCCCTGATGTTCCAGTCAAGAAAAAAAGAGGAACACAAAAAAACTCCAGAAATCCAGTTCATCATATCCACTGAATGATCTCCAATTCTCTCCGATGTCCTGTTCTACTTTTCAACACTTTAAGTCTCACATCAGTAGAAAGGTGGCTAGCAAAGAATTTGGAACATAAAGGAAGATTACGTTATGAAGAAGTTGAATGATTTTTTCTTTCTCATGCTTTTCTATTTTTTCTTTCTCCTGCTTTGGAAAGATGGACACTAAAATTGGTTTTGAAATTTTGAAACGTTAAGTAAAACTGTTTCTTAAAGTATGATGCCAAGTGTACCATTGTATATTCTCTGCCATAGATGTGCCCATAGGAGCCTAGCGTCTCACAGGTAAAAGCTCGTACAAAATATTCAGTGAAGTTAGGGGATTTTGGCTGAATCAAGGAACACATGAAAAAATATGATCGGTGGCTCTCAGGATTAATCTACAAAGCCATTCTCAATGCCTTTCAGGAAGGTGTCCTATGACAATTGAAATGACATAGGATTGGGCCGGGAATCTGTGTCAAGCAATCGCCAGGTTGTTTGCGGACTTTCTACCAGTTTCATATTCTCCACACTCTTCAAAAAGCTGGCCTTCTTCCAGAGATTATGCTGGGCATTGGCTCATGCTCTGACTTTTCTTTATAACGTTGATCTCAGCTGCCGAGGAAGTGCTTGCTTACATATCTACATTTCAAGATAACAACTAAATACTTAAATGCCAACAAGTAGTTTCCCGCCTCCTATATAGTATCATAGAAGTCTCTTCTCGTAATTGTGTTTCCCTTCTTCCTCCATTCTCTCCAAGGTTCATTACATTTGATGCTGAATTCCCTTTAGTGTGGGAGGGATTTCTGCAAGAAGAAAAGGTCCGTTTTAGTTTTATCTCTGGTCCTTGATTTTTGATCAGATTTTAATACTACTTAGTTCTTGGGTTCATAAAAGCCAGATTATGCAATTTTGAATGATTTTTAGCAACATATATTTAAATACCTTTGCCAGAACTAAATTCTCTAAGGATTAATCCAGCTGCAAATGCCACTTGGAACAGAATATGACAAATGCTGTATTTTCTCATAATGCAGCTCTGTACTGCAATCAAATAGACACCCATCCATGCTTTTTTCTTACACATTCAGAAGTATTACTAGCATGCCCAGTTGATTATATAAAATCTTACTTAAGGGCTCCAAATGTGAAGTCTTTAGATTGTCTGGGTAATGTAAAGGTACTCTTGAGATATTTTTACATTTGTGTGGTGCCAAGATTAGTTCCACACATACACCTTCATCCTAAGTCAAGTTGGTAATAAGCATGACTATGATAAGCTGACTGTGAGAGAGTCAGCCTTCCTAGAAGAATTGATTGAGAAAAGAGAGCCCATAGCTGCCTTAGTCGAACCGCTTCGAATTTAAAATGCGCATCAGAGCAGGCCGGATTTACTCAGCAAAACTCAGACACTGACTGTGCAGCCTAAGCAGGCTTATGGTTTGCATTTGTTGATAATTTTGTCTGCTTTCTTGTTAATTAATAAATTTTTTTCCTTTAGTTCTTCTCTCTTCTAATGTCATGTATCTTTGCGTTCATGCAAAATCTGTTCTAACTGTTGAGAAAATTGCTATTCCCAGTATTTAATGCTAGCATCTGCTGTGAAGAATTGCTTTGCGAAAATGAAGAATTTGTTATTTTTTGTCTGCATTTAGTATTAACTTAATTAACATAGAATATTAGGTTATTCTGCTTCTGAATTATTAATCTTTTAATATGTAGTTATGTCTAAGCTTTATACGAATTACTATTTTTAAAATCAGTAAATTGTAATGGACTCAACTAAGCAAATGTGACTAGAAATAATTGCTTTTCTTTATTAGTTGATTCTGCTTTTTTGGTTGTCAATATGTAGCATATCCTGCAACTAAAAAATATTTGAGTGTTATCGTCAATATAATTAATGCTGTGATAGTTATGTCGGGTAACTAGCTTTTCCATTCCCATTACTACTGGAAAGTGATAGAACTGTCAGAAAACAATCAGTTTGGCATGGCAGTTTTGTTACCACTTTCCAAAATTCATGGGTGTGGTGAAGAATTTCATCAAGTTTGTCACGTTTACCAATGAAGGGATATTTTAGGATAACTTTATTGAAAAAATGCAATTAAATTTTGTGAAAATTAAATTTCAAAGACAAATTTAGTGGAACTGTACTTTTTGAAAAATCTCAAGTCTTAGAAAATAACAAATCTTCAGCGTTCTACTCTTTTTTCTATCTACATGTTTAGTCTCTCTCTTTCATGTGTTGTAATTTTGTGTTTGGTTTTATGCTATCCTTTAGATTACTGTGTTCCGCATGGGTTCTGAAGGGCAACAGGACATTGAGATGTCTATCTTAACTGCTCTCCTCAAAGGTGGGTTTTGCAAGCAAGTAGGAAGGATGCACAATCCCAAGAAGAGACAGTCCTATACACTGTCTGAGGTTCACTCTTGATGTTAAGTTTTTGATTTATTCGCTTGGATTCTAACAAGTAACCCGAACATGTTTGGCTTAAGGTTCAGATTAGCTTGAAGCATAAAATCTAGATTGAAAGTTTTGTGTGGCTTTCCTCACCTGAAAGCCTGGGAATGCCGCAACAACTATAATACTGATATTTCAACACATTTTATTGCAGTTCTGGCATTTATTAATGTTAAAGCTAGAAAAAAAGGTGGGAAGATTAAAAGACTATCTGGATTTTTCCAGATCTCAGATTGTGCTCTTTAAGCCTTAGGACAAAATTTAGGATCAGTTCCATATCTATTTGGAGTTTGTTATGTTTGCTGAAACAATTGTTTTCTGTCTGCAGGTATATAGCAGTTGTATGGGCTCAATAAGGGATCACTGGAGCCCCCAAAGCTAAGAAATAAAGAGAGGAATTAGTAAACTCACATCTACAGCATCAGCCAGAGGAGCTGAGAGGAGGGGTCTTTTAGAACAGTTAAATGTCTATCTTTAGCATCAGAATATAAAGTCAATGTGGGCACTTTAAAGAAAAAAGGGAGAGAATCTGGTTAATCCTTTTGAAATTAGGATTATGGGGTTAAATGGAAGATGCTATAAATTGATTTGATGAATCCACTACTTTGTGGTAGAATTATTCTAATGGTAGTATGATATGAAGTCAGGTGTGCTGTTCTCTAGTTCTTGGAGAAGTGAATTATAGAAGGTTGTCCAATCTTGTTTCATCATGCATGAAATACTAAACATCTGTGTGTTTCTCTTTAGGTACCAATGCATCTGCTCCAGACCAGCTCAGCTTGGCTTTGGCCTGGAATCGTGTAGACATTGCACGCAGCCAAATCTTTGTCTTTGGACACCACTGGCCAGTAAGACTAAGTTTTCCTAGTCATATTGTTTGTTAACAATTTGAAATAAGTGATGGAATATTCACACCTTGAATTTTGTTGGCAGGAGAAACAGTATTAAATTCTGTCTTATGCCGAACTGATGTAGGATATCTCATTAATTAAGAATGACCTCTTTGTTTTGAAATTTCTTTATACTGCCATTTGCAAATATTTAGCAATAATTTAAACTCTGTGAAAGAAAGAAAAGCAGAAAAATAACCTTATTTAAGATTCCTTGTGGGATTTGAAAGCAAAAAAAAAAAAAAAAAGGCACTTACTGGAAACAATCTGTGGCCTTACATACAGCTGGACAATAGCAGTCCTGGTCACCCCCAGTGAAGTTGTGTGATGCACTAGCGTTGCCTAGACTTCTGACTTTCTGTGTCATTGACATGTGCTAGCAGTTGCCAAGGTCTCCAGCTACCTATTAAAGTATGTAGCAAGGAAATTCATGGAGCTGCTTAGAAGGAATTGTTTGCTCACTTCATTAACAGCTGTGAAAATCTCTATTTGGATTAATGGAGCAAAATCCTGATGACCAGAAGAAACCATTGCAGAAAACAGGCCTCTGGCAGGCAGAGCTGTGCCAAATGAACTAAGAAGCAGATCTTCAGTAAAGCTTTAGGTCCTGAAATTGGATTTTCTTTCTCAAATTATTGGAGTTTGGTGCTGCACTAGTTGAAGTCAGTGGCGAAACACTGCAGTGCCTTTGTTCATCTGTGTAACTGAAATCCTCTATTTAAGCCACTTTCATGTCTCACTGTATTGATGCTTTTTGCTTTACTGTGTGAACCATCTGGCGTTGAATTACTATAAGGTGTCATGAGAAGACCAGCCTAAAAGAGGCAGTAAGAATGAAGTGGAAGAATTTTTTTTTTTTTAATTAGTTGTCTTTCCTGAAACTGTGCAATAAAATGACACTCAAAGGAATACTATTTGTGTGCACGCTATACATAATGGTGAGATTTATTTCATTTGGAAGCCTGTATAATTACATTTAAACAAATGTGGCTGCATATGCTGTTTTATTCCTTCACTTATAGTAATGTGATGTTTCCAATTTTGAAGGTTCATTAAAATGCTTATACAGAGAGGATCTAATCATCCTAAAGATGACGAAGTACTATTATTATAAAACATTTGCTTGGACGGAATGTTCCAATCTCCATATTATTGTGGTTAGATTCAGAGGTACCACCTAGCAGCTGAAGCCAGTTATTGCTTTTGCCTATTTCGTACTCATACTCTGCAACAATTTGCGGAAACAGTATCAGCCAACTGTGATTCACTGTCATTTCAAATTCATAAAGATTGTTTTCAGACTAGCCTGTGCTGCAAGTTGGCAGCTGCAGTTTCGTCCCGGCTTACGAATGGATTCCCGGTAGCTAGGCAGAGAAGATTTCAAGATGAACAAAACGACAGAAAACAAGCCTTGTTGAAGGGTTGGTTCTATAGTTCTCCGTGCAGAGCACAGATAGTTGTAATCCAGTTTACATGTTCGTGGAGGTTATATAACCTAAGCATTAGCTGGAGCAAGTTAAGCCTCCAAATCACAGACAAGTAGTGTCAAGTTATTTGCATCGGTGCCTGCCTGTCTTGGGTAGATAGGTTGGAAAGGGGAAGGACGTTGCAAAGAGTAAATGTGTCTGAAGACGTATAAACAGAAATATTGTCTGCAGAATGTAAACTGAACCAGTTAGTGGCTCTCTTTCCTCTCTTTTCTGCTTCCACAGTATGGATTCTATTTGGCATCATGCAACATTCTTGTTAAGTTCTTTCTGTCCAACTCCTTATCCTGCTTGTTGCTATTTATTCTGACAACTATTGCTTTCACTGAGAGCAAAGAAACTTAAGTGTCACAAAATTGAGTAGTGTTTCTTCCGAGTCCTCTCGCACTGATTTTATTTTGCGAGAGAAATCCTCCACAGTCTACCTATTTCACTACTTTGACTTTCAGTGTTATTGACTACATTATACCTAACAGCTTTAAAAAAAGTATAAAGCTGTGGCTGTGCAAAAAGGTCCTTATACTTAAGGAAATTGCCGTTTTTAGTTGTCTGCATGTGAGAAGTGGTGACTGGGGAGTGAGTTCAATAGGAGTGTATTTGATGAAGTAGTCACTGTACGATCAATTAGATTTCTAATACTTCTGATGCATTATTAAATACAGCCTTTAGGGAGCCTTACAGCCCCTGATGGTACAGCTCCTGAGAAGGAAAAGAAATCTCCAGCAGCTCAGACTAAAGCAGCCAGGGGGAAAGGAAAAGGGAAGAAAAAGGGAGGAAAAGGAAAAGAAGAGCCAGAAGAAGAAACAGACCCAAGAAAGCTTGAACTCTTGAACTGGGTGAGATGAAAGTATTTGTATTAAAACTGTTGAAGAATTCTTTCTTTTTTTTCATCCTGGGGGACAAAGAGAGAAGGAAAACACACATTTTCATTCTATAGAATGCTCATTTGCACATTCTCATAAGATCAGCAGTAGATTCTCCAGGTATGCTGTTCAGTCTTTGAGCCAGAAATCCCTCTCTCATCCCACGTGCACCACATGCAGCCATAATACAACAGTATAAGTCAGTGCTTATCTACTGCATCTTCTTCCCTGCACTTGTCAGAAGGAAGTAGGAACACCAGTGAACATCATCATCCTTCCTTGTACATGTTATTTATCCAGTGAAGGCAGGTTAAACATCTCCATTTCTAAGTGCTTCTTTTTCCAGGTGCAGTAGGTTAGATGGTTCTGTTGTGTGGATTAAAGTTCATGTGTCAAGGGGATTGCTGCTCAAGGGGTTTTCCCCTCTCCTACTGAGTTCTAACCCCTTAGACCATGTTAAGAGAAGATCCATTAGGCTTCCTGACCAACATTTTCTAAAGGCAAAGCTAAGTTGGTGAAGGAAGAGGAAGTTCTTCTTCCCAAATGATTTGAGTCTTTCTGCCTCTGTGAGGCAACAGTTTGAGTGGATGATACATATGCGAGTTATCAGGGTAAATTATGTCAGCCTCTTCTTAAACATATACAGTGCATTCTCCTTAAATTTTAACTTGTTCCTATCATGTTGAGCCAGCAAATCTCTTTTTCACATAATGTGTCAAGCGTGGTATGCCTCGTTTAGTTAAAAATACTAAACAAAATGATTGAAAGCTACAGTTGTATTGCTAAATGTTTCTTTCACTGCTCTTCTCTTGCCCAAGACCTCGTGGGAAAACTCTACCATCTGTATTGACTTGCACATGGGTAAAATGTCATTTTCTAAATTCCTTTTCACTTACAGATTAATCAACATATTTGGGAACTTGGGAATATCCTAAGTAATGAAAATGTTTGTGGTTGTTGGCCAACCAACTCTTCTGTGCTCATGTAGTCTCACATTCTCCATGCTGCAATTCAGGTGAATTCCCTGGAGCAGGCTATGCTGGATGCACTGGTTCTGGATCGAGTGGACTTTGTGAAACTACTTATTGAGAATGGAGTGAACATGCAGCACTTCCTCACTATTCCTCGACTGGAAGAACTTTATAACACCGTGAGTGAGCAGAAATAGTAAAATGCCCTGTGGTAACTTTGTATTTAACAGGGGCATCCTTTTTGTTCTTGTCCTTCTGAGGTATGCTAGTTTTTCCAAAAAGCTCTGATCCCTGACAATACACAGATGTTGGATAGCGGTAAAGGGAGCCATTGCTACTACATATAGTGTCCTGTTGTTTCCCTCCTTATACACTTTCCTAATTAATAAGCCTACAGCAGCTTTCAGAAGCTATTGCAGTTTGTTATGTAAATATAGTGATGTATTTAAAATGCACGTTCAGAACACTTAAAGAACTAATGTAGATAGTAAAAATTTAATACCAGCCAGTAGTGGTCATTTACTTTTAATCTCAATTACTTTTCATGTATGTATACTTTAATATTATTGAAATAAGCCTGTAAATTTGGCAAAGTACTTACACAGCAACTTTTATTCTTATCACATTGCAGAAGTCAGTATCATTTTTCCTTGTGGCCCAGCAAAGCAAAATGTTTTTCCCAAAACCACAGAACATCATGCTTTTTTATTCAAATTATCCCCGGCCCAACCCGCAGCAAATTCATCAGGAACATAACTATTTCTAGACTGTTTTTCTTCCCATCGGTTAAGTGGCAAGTAGTCTAGGGCAGCATTCATACAACATATAATCTCAGTCTGGTCCTCCAGTCCCTTTATGGCTCCTGCAGCAAGTACAAGTTCAGATAATACCACAAACTGCTGTGACTTGAATCACCACATAAAGGATTATGAGAAAGGGGTTACACAGCTCTTGATAGAAATGTGTTTGTTATTGTAGCCCAGTTCCTTCTTTTTACCCCTTCAGAGTGTGACGGCACATGGTTGCCTAAAGTTCTGCTTACAGTGCCGGATCATTACTTACATTTGTGTTTGCAAAAAATCTGAAGAATTGAAGCTCTAATGGACCGTGAATTATTTTTGTTTCAGAGATTGGGTCCACCAAATACGCTGCATTTGCTAGTCAGAGATGTGAAAAAGGTAAGCTTAACTAACAGCAGCATTACATTTGCATGATTACATTAACTGTGTAAGTCAACAGTAAAAGCAAGCATAGCATGAGGGAAAGCAGACATTTGAAATTAGATGGTAGCTGTTAAGAACAGGAAAGTTAAATTACTTCCTATGACAAACAGTGATGTCAGTCTAAATCAGGTATGGCTATACTGTATTGCTAGTAATTTAAAAACTAAGGAGAGGAAAGTTAAGCTCTAGTAGTGTAATGTATCATTTGACATTTAGGTTGATACTGTTTTTTCTCTACAAGAAGCTCCCAATGCAGCATTACAAAGGAGGAGTGGAAGGAAAGGCCTGCTAGGTTAACTGGAAGCCCCACTCAAGAGCACAAAATTTGTTTCCTTTTGTTTGTTTCCTTGTGTGTTTTTTAGTTACTTTTCTCCCATCAATCCTACTTTTACCTGGGAGAAAATCTGTCCTTTTTCTTAGTGCTAGAAGTCCTAAATTTGTTACTCATTTGTTTCTATTACATGTAAATTTGTTCATTATATGTGAAGAGGGTCATTGTAAGATTTGTTGTTGTATTTGCTCTCTTTGAGGCTTTGGAGCTTTTACTCAGTAAAATTCAGCTACACGAAATAGCCTGTATTCCTTTTCGCAAGGAAAACTCCCATTTATTTCCGGGAGGTTTACATGTGGGAATTAGGCAGTACTGGGTTAATGTATAATTCATATTGATCTGTTTCATAGTTTAACACTTTTCTCATTCAGTGTTTGTCTTTTTGAGTGTTACTAATGCTCTTCTGCATTCTGCTTTTTGTCTGTCTCTCCTCCTTGTCATTGCATTTTCATAGCTCACTCATTCAGCGGCAGTCTCGGGGATTCGTTTGGGTTAACATGGAGGTGATGTGTTTGCTTAGGATATAGTTGTTTCATCATAGCAACTGCTCAGTGGTGCTGTAGAATCAGTTATTGTTATAGAATGTGTCTTGAACAACGAAGCACAGGTGTGAGCTCATGATTCTAGCAGAGTCAATACCACTATCCAGTTTTCAAGTGTAACATTGGAAATTATAGTTTGCCTTTTTCTTTGATTCTGGGCTGCCCATTAATCTAAATCATGTTCTGCATTGTAGTCTTAACTCTGTAGATAATACTATGATGAAATCTAAGTTTCCATAAAATGTAAAGTATGCCTGATATTCAATGTGAAATTAAGTCATGCTTTTATACTGGATTAATGATAATCAGTACAAAGTTTTTTATTTTCATCAATATAATCCTTGCAAACAACTCAGGCTTGTATGGACACTGCCATATTGTGTGAGTAAATCAAGTGAAAATTTGTCCTCAACTATAAATACTGCCAACAACAAAACAGAAAAAATCTGGCCCCAAAAAATTTTCATTATGTGAATCAGTTATCATTAATTTTGTACAAATATTCAGAAACTGAAACCAGTGTGGCTGTAAATAATACCTGTGTGCCAATTTAAACATGACGTGATATGTCTAGCCAGGCAATTTAATATATGTTATGTTTTCTTATCCTAAGTCCTTATTTTGTTTGGGTTTGTTTTTTTTTTTTTTTGGTAGGGAAATCTTCCACCAGATTATCATATCAGCCTAATAGATATTGGTCTTGTACTTGAATATCTCATGGGTGGAGCTTATCGCTGCAACTATACTCGAAAAAGTTTTCGGACTCTTTATAATAATTTATTTGGACCAAAGAGGGTAAGAATGAGTTCATTCTGGATGTGGCCATCGTGCTGATGGTAAAAAATAAGTAATACTTTGTTCCTTTGTCTTTGTGAAACACTACATGTTAAATTCTAAAGAAATGCTGCAAGACCGAAGTTGAAACTCTGGTAGTGAAGTTATATAAGGAACCTGTAAAACACCTATGGTAAAGGATGGGAGGACCCAAAAGGTGGTAAATACATTGATCTGGAGGTGATATTTCCTCCTATTTCAGTAGTTTACAATCCAAGCATTCCTAACTGTGGTGTTTGCATAGTTACTTATTCCTACTCGAAGCTGTAGCTCTCTTATAACTGTAAATTATATTGGTCAAGCCAGGCCTATTGATCAAGTAATTATAGCCAAAAGTAGCATTAACTTGGGTAAGGCAGAGAGTTTAGTCTGAACACAGAAGAGCTATGAACCTGTTACAGTAAGTCCTGTGAAGAAGTACTGTGAGCATAAATCTTACCCTACGGAAGCCACCACAATCTCAGTAAAGCATTTCATAATCATGTACCAGTCCTGAGAATATCAAGCATGGCCCTTGCTTTGTTAAAAAGTCTATTCTAAGCAAATAGGATAATTTTCTTCATTAGCTTATTTATTTGTTTTGTTTACGTCAAGTGAAGCTTCCTAACCTAATTACAGAAAGCCCCACACTAGGAAACACATTAGGAAACTAGCCCCACAAATGGTCAGAAGGCCACTCAAAGCCCAAGTATTCTGTAGCCAATATATAGTACATACATAGTGTAGTACTATCTGATGGAACAAACAAATAAACCTTTTACATAAAATGTAAAACAGAGATTTCACAATAGAACAGAGGGATTTTTTTAATGGGAAATTGAGAGAGGTTTGAAGAGCTATTATATTTTATTACTGTTTCCTATGGTATCTTCACCCTGTGTATGCTTAGAAGCACTATTTTTTTGAGCTTTTGTGACCATGTGGTGATTTGAATTCTCAAAGTGTATTATTGAGTGATTCATTTAACTCTTCCATCTGAAACAATATATTTCACTTGAGTGCAGGATGGAAAATATTTTCTAACCCATTGCCTTCCTGCAAATACAATTATGAGGGAAATTAATTAATTGTACCATTATTGGTACAATTATTTAGAATAGTAAGTTTAATAATAAATACTGTACATTTGTAAATGAAAATGTGTTTTTCCTTGGTATTGTTTGGTCTTTGAATTTTCCCTCCCATCTAACTGATTTTCTTTTCTATTTTTAATATTCAGCCAAAAGCTCTTAAACTGCTAGGGATGGAGGTAAGTTGGATTTATTGTAAAATACTGTTTTTATTACAGTATTTCTTGGTACAGTTCTACTCTTGCTCTTAGCTTTTTCACTATTACTGTGGCTTAAAGTAAATTTCAACTAGACAGGATCTTCAGTTTGCAAACAGCCTGTGAAATACTTCTGACATTTTTTTATGGGTAGGGTCTTGAGAGCTGCTTAAAGCTTTGCTCAGTAGTCTTCAGGCATTTTTTAGCGCTATTATGTAATAGCACATTCCATGTTGAAACATACTGTAGATTTAATCATTCAGATGTGAACATTGATGATATTGAAAAGATAATGTGATCCAGTAGTGCTACTTCTGCTCAAATCCCCTTTAACCATGAAGTAATAATTTATGTATAAATGAGGTTTTATCATAGAGAAAACATTTAACTGGAGTGAAAAAACAAGGTGGTCTGACACGTTAGATCCTGTCCACCACTATAAAACATCCTTGCTACCATGATGGCACCATGCTTTGTAGATGATGAAGCTGACCCAGAATTTTGGGTGCAACCCCTGCCTCAATTATTTGTGTGTCTGCAGAAATTTTGAATTGATCAGAATCAAGTCTGGGATGATACCTAAAAACTCACTCTGTTTTGGAGGTAGTTGCTTTTGTTTCTGAAAAAAGTATTAACATAGACCAGGTAAGCATTTACACAAAGAGGCTAGGTACATTTGTCTATTAAGTATGCTTTTATTAACGCTGTGATAGTATTCGAACACAGTATATGTACATGTTGCTTGTGTTACATTTGATGTGAATGATACCCACACACAAAAGCCTGTATTTCCCCAAACAGATAAGCAGCTTTCTTCTCTGCAGAGAAAGTCCAGGTTATGTTTAATCCCTCTCGTCAGCTTCCTGTTTTCTAATGGCTCAAGGCCAGACAGAAGCTCAGCCCCTCAGAGATGCAGCCCTTTTTAATCAGCGTTGATCACACGTAGGTTGCTTAGTGCTTCTCCAAAAGCACATTTTGATTTTCCTATTTCTTTCAGTGAGAAATGTTTTATGTGGCACAAACTGAAGTGTTCTCTCCACTTGACAGTGGATGTAGCCCACTCCCTTCTTCCAAGAGAAAGAAAAGGTGAAAAGAAAAATGAACATTTCTTTTGCTGAAGTGGTCAGTAAATTGATGCGAATCCAAGCGTTTGGGTTTTTTTCATTTCCAGTGTTAGCAGCTCTAAACCAGGAAGTTTAGACTCCTTAGCACTTTGTCTTTCTCACCCAGGGTTTTGTTTTGATTTGATTTTCCTAGTGTGGGGACGGCCTAATTTTTGGTCCTTCATTTGAGATTTTATGTCCTGTGCTTCAGAGATGCTCAACACTTTCTTCATGTGCATGCAATTAATGACCCCTGAATTTTCCATAAGAGACAGAAGTCACCGCTTGCAGTTCTTAAAACTGCTGGAAGAGAAATGCATACTTAATTGTTGAGCTGAAGAGTCGTGTTTGGAAACCTATGGTGTGAGGCTGAACCCTGAATTTGGATTTAAGTTCATATTTTGTCAAAAAATAGTGCATTATGCTGAGCTTGCTTGAACAGGAACTAATTTTGTAGAATGGTAATTGCTTTAACTTGCAATCCACTTCTGAGATTGGAATCAAGGTCTACAATGATGATGAGCTCTGCCTACATCTATATATGCAATGTTCTTCCTACATTATTTAAACCCTAATTTTCCCAATCATGGCTTTTCTCCCTTCAGGATCCTGCTTCATTGTCAGTACTTCCCTTCAGTTACTTCCATGTTGGTTCCTGTAGTAATGGCCTATCCTCCCTATCCCTTTAAGAAATGGGATACTTATACCTTCCGTTTGCACTGCATACATAAGAGGAGATTGCTTATTCAAAGGTGAAGACTCCCTTTAGTATTTTGCTGTTCTTAAGGACGCTATCTGCCTGACTTTTCCATTTGCATGTTACCACTCTCTCCACCTGCATGTCAGTCTGAAAACTGCTTTGATACTTCTAAGATATGCAGCACTGTTCTTCAGGAATAAATGCAGAACTATCAAATCAGAAATTACAGTGGAACCTATTCATAGTGAATTCAGGTTTGTTAAAGCTCCATTGACACTACAGTGGAATTCATTAAATATTAATTCATCGCAAATCAACTTGTGCAATTACACATGCGGTAGAGATCTACTTACAATGCAGTGTAAAGTGATGCCTTCAGTACAATAGGGTTCTACTGTACTTATCCAAGATGGGTGACTTGTAATTAAGTATGCAAGATATGGTTCTCTGAATAAAATATTAAACTGTGTGTGCTAGCCCAGTGCCTGCTCTGTCACATGTTCTTCATAGTTTTATCGCTATTGGCATTCATTGTAGCAAACAGCAAAAACAAATTAGAACTTTAACTATTAATATGTCCTTTCAATACTTGTTCTGTCCATGCTGCCATTGTCATGTAAGCTGTTAAAAATTGATGGGAACATTTTTCTTCTTTTCTTCCCAGGATGATGAGCCTCCCACCAAAGGGAAGAAGAAGAAGAAGAAGAAAAAGGAGGAAGAGATCGATATTGATGTGGATGACCCAGAAGTCAGCCGCTTTCAGTATCCATTTCATGAACTGATGGTATGGGCTGTGCTGATGAAACGGCAAAAGATGGCACTCTTCCTTTGGCAGCGAGGGGAGGAAACCATGGCCAAGGCACTTGTGGCCTGTAAACTGTACAAGTCTATGGCCCATGAGTCTTCTGAGAGTGAGCTGGTGGACGACATCTCTCAGGATCTGGACAACAACTCGAAGTTAGTAGACGCAGGGCAGAATTTATGTCTACTTGATGTAGGGGGTTGTCTGACCTGCTGAGCAGCTTTACTTTTAGTAAAAGTACAATTGATTTCTAGAATGTAGGTTCACAGAACGCCATTTGGAGCTGATTTATCAAGAATAAACAAGCCAAAATGTGGTCTCAGAATCTGAAGGCAACGCTAGCAAGGGGAAGACTTGCATTTTTTCTGACAGAACACCTTCTTTCTTCAGCTTCTCTCTCTCTAAAACTAGCTAGTTTTATTTCACAAAGTTATTTTCAGGATTTGCTCACATAAATTAAGGGATATCTGATGATATATCTAAACTGGCCTTAAGATGTTTTCGGTCTAAGCTAATTTTCTCTGGTCACTAAAAATTTGTTTGGAACTTTTGTAGACTGTCCCAAATCAAGCTTGAGACTCAGTTGTTCTTGTCATTGTACATGTGTGTGGAAAAGCATGACCCCCAGTGAACGAGGGGTGGGGGTGTGTAATTGATTTCTAAATCAAACTTCACTCTATCTTGTATTTTCCAGAGATTTTGGCCAGCTGGCTGTTGAACTCTTGGATCAGTCCTATAAACATGATGAGCAGATTGCCATGAAACTACTGACCTACGAACTGAAAAACTGGAGTAATTCTACCTGCCTGAAATTGGCTGTGGCAGCTAAACATAGGGACTTCATTGCTCACACATGCAGCCAGATGCTCTTAACAGATATGTGGATGGGGCGACTACGCATGCGGAAAAACCCAGGCCTTAAGGTTCTGCAGTTGTTTTCAAAGATGTAGTTTGTTGCATGTAATACTACATTATACATAGTGTATGAATAGAACAAATTGGCTTACTAATTATAGATGCTTTAAGAACATACCTGTTTTAAAGCTAATTTTTTTTATTTCCAAATTCAGGATATCTAAGGAACATTACCTCATAACAAAGGAAAATATAAATCCATAAAAGTTGAGCATGACTGGAGTCTGAGAGCAAAGTTGTGGCTTTCAATGAATGATGAGATCTGTTCATTGAAAACATACACCTTTGATTAAAAATTAGTTGGATACAAGCAAAAAGATCTCCAGTAGGGGTCCACGCAATGGGAATAGAGAGAAAATGAACCAGACATGGACACATGCTTCTCACATTGCTTAATATTGTACCAGAAGACACAGAGTTGAGACTCAGTGTTGAAAAGAGTGAAATCTGTGCAATTGCATTGTGTGAAACTATGTGATTTTTATTTCCCTCTTCTGTGATTTGATGATATGGTCTCTCTTACTGATTTTTATATTTCTGAATTGTTGGATTTACAAAAAAATGAGTAACGTGAGGAGTAATGTGAAGAGAAACATCAGTGAGCCAATGTTAAGGAAGCAGAGTTGTGTGTGTTTTCAGGTGAATATAATCCTATCTGTTATATTATGCAGTTGCTGTCGCCCATATGGAGGCCCATCATGATGATGCCACCTTAAGTCTCATCTCCTTATTTCTTTAATTCCCTCATCACTGAAAAAGTGCCATGCCTATGTTCCCAGGTCATACTGCCAAGCTTCCTGACATACACATTGCACCCTCTCTGTCATTCTCAATTTATTTCCACTTTCCCCTATCTCCGTCTTAAACCTGTTTAAAATCTTCAGGCAAGTGTCCTGCCTTTCAGATTGCATCACGGTGCTTTCTAAATCTGTTTATTGATTTCCTTTCTTTTCTCCAAAGGATTAATCAATCTGCTAATGTTCTAGTTTCATTACCTGCATTCTTCTTTTTGCTCCTTTTCTGTACTTTGGCAACTCATGCTTGTGTTTCTGTATCTCAGCAATCTCCTATAGTAAAAGAACTCTCCCAGTGCTATCTTCAAAGCTTCTTTTACCTTTCACAAGTTTTTTAACTATTAAAACTAATTATAGTACGTGACTAAAGTAACTATAAACTCCAGTAACAAACCTGAAGCCCTCTTCTAACTGCCACTGTGTCCATTCCATGGAATTTCTCTGCACAACTCTAATACTGCAGCACAATTTCTTAATTGCAGTGTATTCATGGAGATGGGAAGCCTTCCAGGGTGCCATCTTCCCATACAAGATCTTATTGCCAATGCTTCATAAGTACTAGTTACTCATTTTTGTAGGTTTGAGGATAGCAGAGTATCTTGAATACCATACAAAAGAAAATATTGTTTATGGGATTCGCCTTGTTATGAAATCTACTAATGTAAACAAATATTGTTATCTGAGTTGAATTCTTTCTTGTTGTACAGGTTATAATGGGGATTCTCTTCCCTCCCACCATCCTTTTCCTAGAGTTTCGGAGTTACGATGATTATTCTTACCAGACATCAAGAGAAAATGAGGAAGGCAGAGAAAAGGAGGAGGAAAATGTGGTCAGTAATGGAGATTATTAGGAAGTTCTAATATCTCAAGAGTGCTCAGTTTTCTAACTTCTCTGATTATGCTATAGGTCACTCAGGTTAAAATGTCAACTGCCTCTGTGGGATAAAAATCAGTGAAGAGTTTGGGGAGTGTATAGGCTGGATTCTCAGAGTGTGTAAATTATTATTGCACAGATTTACGGAATATGTATCTTCGTATTTTTAAAAAGAGGTCTGTTGCTTAGAGGAAGCATTGTGTAGCTAACAGTTGGCTGGGACTGTAGTTGAGGAAAAGCTACTATTTTTACTATTGTGTATTGATGAAAACTGACAACTTTCATCTTCCAGGATGCAAATGTGGATACAGGCTCCCGAAAAGGAGATGAAGAGAATGGAAATAAAAAACAAAAGAGCCTTCCAATTGGAACAAAGATCTATGAATTCTATAACGCACCTATCGTCAAATTTTGGTTCTACACAGTAAGTCATGTAATTAAACTGATAGTGATTGTTTTTCTCACACCTGTGAAACTTAAAGGATTCCAATGTAAAAATAATAACCAAGTAATAAATAAATAAATAGTACTGACTTTCATGGAATCTGATGAGTAAAGCACTCCCTTTATTCAGAGAAAAATGCATAGACAATGAAACAGAATGAATAACTGAAGCTTCTGCTGTCAGCCTCTAAAGCTCCTACACACTTTGAAGGAGGCCCTGTCTGGCTAATCATATGCCAAACTCAGTGCAAGCTCCACAGTCCAGTCACTCAATCCAAACTAGGCTGGATCTTTTCGCTTTCTAAAGCATCTGGTTCCTGTTCTGCGTTGAAATACACTTTAGGACCCAAGAAGTAATGCACAGTATCAGTGCTTGCCATTTGCTCTGTTGACAGCTAGGCTTAGTTGAGTGCAACCTAGATGGAAGCACAGATCCCAGTCTGCTAAGACCTAATAGGTACTTTCCCCTTATTTAAATAATTAAAACCAATCTAAACAAAATTATTTATTTTTGACAAGCATCTGATTTTCTCTTTAGCACATCAAGAATTATCTGGTGCTAAACTCTGTTTCAATAAAACAGAAAAAGTATTCATGCTACTGCTCATAAATTTCGTGTGTGCCCTGTAAAAAGGATACTGGTTTCTTTTTTATTCAAAGTTAGGACTGCCGATACCTAGTATGTCATAATATTATGTAGGTTTTTAGTTTTAGCACATCGTAATCACAAAACATTATAGTGATCCCTTTCTGCTGCCTATATTAATAATTTAAAAGCAAAATTCCTATTTAATTTCAAAGAAAAGTATTCAACATGGTTTAACAGTGTAAAGAAATTACATTTTAGTAGATTAAAAAAGCCCCAGGCACAAAGGGCCTGATTTAGAGTGCTTTGGAATTGTTGTTTTGCTTCTTTCAACAAATGAAATAATTCAGCCGCCTGGACATATGTTCCACAGCATCTGTCATTCCTTCAGCTGCTGGAGGCCCATGGCTTCTGCCAGTGTGCATGGCAGCTATAAGAAGGGCATTGCAGCAGGCCCGCTTTCTTCAGAGAAGAATGTATTTTTTCTTGTGCAAGTAGGGTTCTTCAACACCTGAATCTTGCAAGCATAGCCTCAATGTATGTGTTCATACATGTTCATATGAATGTCACAATTAGGGCGGGCTATGCTTTCATGCATTATGCAGGCCCCTCAGTTAAGAGGATTTTACTGCCTTCTGTTTGGTGTTTCTACTCTGACATGGTGGTGCAGCCTTCTGTGCTCTTACTGAATTAGGCTTCAGCAAGAAACTTGCTCCTGAGACTAAGGGCTACCTAAAGTAACCAAAATATCTGCAAACCTACTGTTCATGCAGATGGGTTTAAGTAACAAGTATAGGAAGAGGTGTTGTACGGACTGATACATGAAGTCTGTATGCCTCTGGCTTCACATAAAGAGTATATTCTACCTAGATGGTCTCAACCTCATTATTACAGGGTGGAGAAAAGCAAGTGGCCTGTGTGGCTCTTTATTTCCCCTACCCCTCCAGGCAGGTGCTGCTTACAGCCCTGCCTCCCTGTTCTGCTTTAGGTCTGTTTTGGGATGGTGGGTAAACATTTCACACTGAATATCTCATTCTTTAGAAAACTTCATTTTCTTCCTGGAAAAATCTTTTGGTTTATTACTGCTTTGTTTCGCTTTTTTTCTGCAAAGCCATTGAATCCATTTTGGTTTCTTAACTCTGGACTTCTAAGATCTCTGAAGTTTTTAGTTTGGCTGATCACCAAAGACTGCTGTGAGGCATGGAAATGCCAGCATCACCAGTTTGACGTTTATACCAGTAAATGGAAAACTGAGTGATGATAGCTCTGTTGACTTACACTAATAGTCCAGAACTTCCTAATGGAAATCAGTGGAGACTGATTTTTTTTGTGTGTGGAAGTTATCTCAAGTAATTGAATACTGCCTAACTGTGGAAGGATCCTGGGATCCATCATCTAAAGTCCATAAAGAATTTTTTTTTTTTTTTGGTAGATATCATACCTTGGTTACTTGATGCTATTTAATTATATCATCTTGGTGCGGATGGAACGGTGGCCATCAGTCCAGGAATGGATTGTCATCTCGTACATTATGACGTTGGCTTTGGAGAAAGTAAGAGAGGTAAAGTCTGATCATACCAACAGCTCATAATCCTTAAAATGAAGCTGGCTCTTAGGGGTAATAATGGCATGGACTTGTGCAGAGGGTTGAGAAGCCATACATGAGAGAGAAGATTCTCATATCCTCAGAGTCCCAAAATGCCCATCACTGGAGAAAGTTTCATTTATAATCCTTTCCCACACATTAAAACCTTCTCTTATTGGTCAAAAAGGTCAGGCAAAAATGCCCTGAGGTCAGTAGTCAAAATGAATTATGTCATTCTCTTATGCGTATTTCCAAGGAAGGGCAGGGCCATAACCCATGAAGGAAATCTCAGTAGGTACTGGCTTTTTATTACTGATGCAGTCCTTGATGAGAACTGCAGGCAGAGAGGTGTTTTGGGGAATTAGCCAGAAATACTATCTGACTGATCTTGTTACTTTTGTATGAGGAAGATAGCATAAAAACTTCTATTGTATTCACATGCTGTAGTGTGGTTTGCACTTAGCCTATCCTTCTCTGATTCACAATTCTCATATTTCATACTAATTTGGAGATAAATATAGATGCCAAGTCAGTAAGCCAGATCTCCTGGTTTAAATGTTATTGATTAAAGCCTGTAATAAAAAAAGGCTTACTAAAGCCAAAATAGAAACAAAGATGAAAACGGGGTCCAGAGGAGGGCCACGAAAATGATCGAGGGCTGGAACAGCTCTGCTATGAAGAAAGGCTGAGAGAGTTGGGGTTATTCAGCCTGGAGAAGAAAAGACTTTGGGGAGACCTTATTGCAGCCTTTCAATACGTAAAGGGGGCTTGTAAGAAAGACAGAGAGAGACTTTCTACCAAGACCTGTAGTGACAGGACAAGGGGCAAGCGTTTTAAACTGAAAGAAGGTAGGTTTCAATTGGACATAAGGAAGAAATTTTTTATGATGAGGGTGGTCAGACACTGGAACAGGTTGCCCAGAGAAGTTTTGGATGCCCTGTCCCTGGAAGTATTCAAGGTCAGGTTCGGCGGGGCTTTGAGCAACCTGATCTAGTGAAAGATGTCTCTACCCATGGCAAGGCTCTTGGACTAGATGATCTTCATAGGTCCCTTCGAACACAACCCATTCTATGTTTCTATGAAAAGGAAATTTTGCCTGCTAGTAACTAAAAATACTGCTGCTTGAGACAAATTTTGCTGGCAGTGGAGGGGGTCTCAGACACCTATTGAATGTGACAAGATTGGTCTTTTTTCATGACCATTACTTCAAAAATGTAACTTGGAGGTTTTCCTAATGATCTCTTTGTTGTTTTGTTTTGGTTTTTTTTTTCTTATTTCAGATTCTGATGTCAGAGCCTGGCAAGCTGAGCCAAAAAGTGAAAGTATGGCTCCAGGAATACTGGAATATTACTGACCTGGTGGCTATTTCAGTATTTATGATAGGAGCAATTCTTCGCCTACAGAACCAGCCTTACATGGGTTATGGAAGAGTGATTTACTGCGTAGATATAATTTTCTGGTACATTAGAGTACTAGATATCTTTGGTGTGAACAAATATCTGGGACCTTACGTCATGATGATTGGAAAGATGGTTAGTGCCTAAGTTGGTGTAAATTATGTATTTCAGAACTTCATGGGAAATTAAATTCAGTTCTGATTTTAAAAAGAGGTTTTCCATCTGAGTAGGACCCTGAATAAAGGCTGGGAAAAGGTGCCATGTGAATTCCATACACACACGAGATGCAATACTCTTGTTAACAATTGCTTGATTTCACTTTGCCTGCCTTCTGCCTCCCAAAGCCATAGCAATAAGCCGATACACTAGGATCATCCACAAAACCATCAGTTGTGGATAGGAGATGATACAGCAATGGTTGTATCATCTCTGTGAAACCACAGAAGAGGTCTGTTCTGAAAGCACAGCATAGCGCACTTGATGCAAAAGAGAATAGGGATAGCAAAGATTTTAACATTTTAAGTCTTTTTAAATATAAATCTAGTATTCTTTTCAATGACTGGTTTTACTGCATTTTTATGTATGCTTAATTCATGAGCAATAGTTAAAGACAAAGAATAATATCAAGAAAAGTATCCAGGGGAATGTGTGTGTTCTCTTGATACTTTCTTGTTTACTTAACACATGCTGGCAAACAGACGTGCTGGTGCTACTGTACTACCTGGTGATGATAAGAGCCTCTGTATGGTCTCTCCGTACAGATGATTGACATGCTCTACTTTGTGATCATCATGCTTGTGGTTCTGATGAGTTTTGGAGTAGCCCGCCAAGCTATCCTGCACCCAGATGAGGAGCCTTCTTGGAGGCTAGCTCGCAACATCTTCTATATGCCCTACTGGATGATCTATGGAGAGGTGTTCGCAGACCAGATAGACCGTAAGAGTAGAATTCATAGTAAGAGTCTGTTTCCTGTTTCTGAGGCAGATGATCAGATCCAAATTAATGATTGTTTTTAATTTGGAAGTAGTGTTTTGTCTTTATGATTATATTGTTGTTGGTTTTTTGTGATAGACTTCAGAGACTGAACAATTTTCTGATCCCCATTTGCATGTCCTGTCTCTCAGTTTATATTCAAATTCAGTTAACACTGAGAGTGATATAGTCTGGAATATTCTCCTGTCCAAGAGTATAACAGTATTAAGTGTTCTGTTTACTTGCAGGGATCAACAGAGATCATTCTGAAACATTCTTTTGAACCAATGCTTTACTAATAGTCAGTTCCAACAGAAGAAGAAAAAAATAAATACCTTGCACAGGAGATGAAAATACACATATCCTTTCATCTCCAACTCACAGGACAGGCAATGAGCTAATACATTTTTACTCCCATTGATACCTCTATCTACTTTCCAGAAATGTTTCCATTTCATGAATCACTAATGTTCTTCTTTTCTACACCTGTGGAAAAACAAAACAAAAAAAGGAAAACTCTGCTTGATTAGCTTTGGGTGTGGAAATAGCCTTTCTTATACAAAAGCTGCACAGTTTAAAAAAATAACTGTCAGTATTTTAGAGGAGATGGAAACTGTCATGTTACTGCTAGTTTTGTGTTAATATTTGAAATTTGTGCAGACAGTCAAACATGCAGCTGGCCTCCTCTAGTGTGTATCACATAGTTTGCACTTTATCTGAAATAATACAAGCTGCTATTTCAGCATTGTGTATGTGTTATTTCAACCATCTGCATATATTGACAAGTAGTAAAGTGGAAGGCTGAAGAAACTGTGAGGTCTAAGTTCAAAAACGGTAAAAGATCCATCATCATGAGAAACCTTTATACCAAATGTCATTAAAGTGTATTTTAATTGCTTAGAAAGGAATTAAATGTCATTAGTCTGTTTCTGAACAGTGTACACTGTTGCAAAGATCATATCATCTTTGTTTTCCTTATGAATGCTTGTCTTATTAATGTAACTTCTGATACAGTAAATTACTCTTGACAAATAAAAGGTCAAGCCAGTCATTTATTGTCTGATATTGCAGTTTCAGTGCACATGTGAGCCAGGATAAGCTCAGGATCTCTCAAGTGTGTTAATTCTCCCATGGGGAGAAATAGACTGTAACATATCCTTTACCTTTGTGGCTCATAATGTGCATTCAACTCCTACTTTACTTTGAACAAAGAATGTTTGCCAATGTAGACAGTTTGATTTCTCTATAAATCAAAACTCACACCTTACCAACAATACTCATCGCTTTAGTGTAAGTGGTGTCCCAGAGTCCTCTCATGCTTCCAGTCATTTCTCAGTTATATACTCAGCATCCTTTGAATCAGAAATCTTTCTTCAGCAGTGCAAAAGATTTGGGGGAAAAAAAGTTTGGACTTTCCAGTTACACAGGTTCAGTCCAGCTACTTGCTCCACTGACTTTCCCAGGTCGGAAGCTTTGCTGGGTCAGTAGCTTAAACATAAGCTAACTTGAAAATGTTTTTGTTTTTGTTTTAATATTGAAATACAAGTGGCTACGCAAGGAGTTCTACTGGTATAACTAGACTGCATTACAATTATTCTGTAAATTTCTTATGTCTAGAAGTCTATGGACTGACTTCTGAAGATCTTTTTGCTTTCAATAAGAAATGTTCACTCTGGTCTTTCCATGGTTCTCTGTAAACACACCACAAAAGCAACCTCAGAAGTCCTTGGGGCGTGATTGCTATTGGGGAGTGCTGCAATGGATGGCTATAAGCT